GGAGGGCTGGGGGAGGGGCACAAAGGGAGGAGGAGTGGGCCAGAGCTTCAGCTGAGTTCTGCTGGCAGGCCCTGGTTCCCTTTCAGTGCCCTTTGTTACTTTCTTAGTCACTTTGTTTTCCTGGGCTGAAGGGCTCTGAGCTCCTGCAGCTGCGGAGGCTTCCTCCCCTCCCCCATCCCTCCCCTGCTGTCCAGGCCACTTGGCTGAACAGAGTCCAGCCCCAGATGGGTGCTTGAGGCTTGTTGCTCACACGCTGCTGAAACAGACTGCACCCCATAGGGTGCGGATCCTAGTCGCCTTCCACCCTTGGTTCTCAGATACCCGGACTCCGACTGGTAGGGTCTTCCAATGTCTGGGGTGGGCCTAGAGCCTAGTGTAACCAGGCCCCAGAGGGCAGTGGGGGCAGCCCAGCTTCCTCTGAGTTCTCCTCTGCAGAGGTATGGTCACCAGTAGACAGCACCTGCTCCAGGCCAACACGCCCAAGTGGCTCTGCCTCCTCACCTTCTACGGTGAGCCAAACTGGCTGGGAGATCTCGGTTTCTCCCCCATCCTCCACCTGGCACCAGTACCGACCCGCATCAGAGCGCTCCACTGACTTCAAGCTGTGGAAACAGGATACCAGGCTTGCTTCCCAGGGTCAAGAGGGGCAGCTCTGTTGGGTAAACTTCATGGGTTTAGTCTGTCCCCACTTCTAGAAGATTCCACAGGTTGCCAAATTCAAAACAAAACAAAACAAAAAAACCACAGCTCTCTGGACGTCAGCACTGGCCCCTACTCCCACACCCCAAGGAAAGAGCACAGCCTGCCCCCTGGCTGGCATCCCACACCTTCCTCCAGTCCTGCACCTGAGGAAGCCGATCCAGTGCTGCTCGCTGACTGGGATGTACAGCTGGTCCACATTCTGGACCACAGCCCCATCCTTCACCCACTGGATCTCAGGCTCCTCCATCCCCTCCACGCTGCAGTTGAGCTTCACCGGCTGCCCCTGCGACACTGTCAGCTTCACTGGGGCTCCCATGAGCTTCAGGCCTGAGGGGTGGGAAGGAAAACATGTCAGGCTACTTAAAAAGGACCTTGTCTCTGGAATAGTTCCCAGGCTCTTTCAGAATGTGGCTTCTGTGTTAGAGGGCTCTTTCTCAGCCAACGCCAAGGAAGCAGAGGCAGGACGGTGTGGGAGGGAAGGTGACTTGGGCCTGGCCTAGAGGAAAGGGCATGACAAGATCTCCAGGCCCCATTTCTGTCACTGCCATGTCTCCCCCAGCTCTAAGGACCTCTTCCCCATACTCCCTGCTGGGCCCAACCATCAAAAGCTGAAACAATAGGGAGTTACCCCTCTGGGGCAGGTACTGCCCTAGGAGTGACTGCTGCACCCAACCAGTGCAACAGGCTGCCAGCTCTCCGCCCAAGGTGTCAGCCTAGACCCTGAACTGCTGCCAGCACCTCCTGCACTCAACCCCACCAAATGAAGGAAGGCTGATGAAGGGAAGGAGGGGGTGTTCCCCTGAAGTGAAGAACATATGGCTGCAAAACCACGTCAGATCAAACACATGGCAGCCTTCCTGGCAGTCATCCACTCTATTAATACCTGAATGTGTGCAGGGGCGGGTGCTAGGAAAGTGGGAGGCAGAAGGAAGGGGTGGGGCTCTGAGCAGGGAGCCCAAGACCCCTGAGCCACTGTCACATAAACAGGGGCCACCCTCCAGAATCCTACCCTTGCACGCATGCATACACACACACACACGCACACACCAACACCCCTCCTGGCCTCTTGACAGGTTTTTAAGCAGAGAGAGGGGCAGGTGAAGCATCCACATAGCTGAAATCCAGTCCTGCTTCTTTTTGCCCTTTGCTGTGTGACTCTAGGCAAAGTCTTGGGCTCTCTGAGCATCTGATACAAATCTTTCAGTTTGTCAATACTGGTCACCCTCTTTCCCTTCCCTTCCAACAGGCTGATATGGCAGGGAATGCTGTCTCAAGAGAGGGGGCCAGCTGGGTGGCTGCTGCCCTGGCCTGTGTCTCTTCCCTACTCCCTTCATCCTCTCAGGTTCAGTCACAGGACAAGCAGGGGCAGTCTCACACTCCATATACACCCAACAGTCCCAGAGGGGTGCAGTGTGAAATTGGGGAGTAAGGTGCTACATGGAATACTCTTGTCATCAGCAAATACCCCAGTGTCTACGTGGGAACGCAAGGCTAACCCCGGCAAAGACCAGCAAGCAACCTTGCCCAGCCTATCCTCTCCCACGTTCCTGGTTTCAGGAAGCTCTGGGGACACAGAAACTACAGCATGCCCAGATGTTTCTTGTGACTGGGCACTCTTACAGCCCCTGTACCTAAAAGGCATTAGGGTCCCCTTTGGGTTCCCAGCCCCAGCCCCTGTGATTTCAGAGTGGACCTTTGTGTTTCGGGCGGGTAAAAAGGGGTGCCCAGGACAGGGGAGGGGACAGCTAACAACTAGGAAGATCGAGGCGGGAAAACCCAGTCCCAAACACACCCCGCTGACCACACAGCCCACACCCCACTCCTTTCTCTTCCACCCCGCCAGAGGAGCCCAGGGAGCGAGAAAGTTGGGGGTGGGGGCCCCGACCGGG